AAACTACCGAACAAATAAAGAAAGTAGATGTTTTCTCAAAGACTCGACATGAAGATGTATGGAGTCATTCGGGAACATGCAGAACAGGACAAATTGTTAGTGGTCCAATTACAGCAGGAAAATCATTTGATTTTAAGCTTCGTTTAAGAATTCCTGTTAGAAGATTCCTTCCATTAGAAGCTATTCGATTTATTCCAGCTTTTGCAGGAAACATTCAGCTTAAAGTAAAGTTCAGTAGCGACGCCTTACAATGCACATCTATATCTGTAAATGATATCATTGCTTTCAATCCAACTCTTAAAGTTGCATTTGCTTCAGATTCAAATCCACCGACAAATAAATTTGTTCCATGGAATGAACCATTCACTATGATAACGAAGGCAATAGAAGCTAGTGGAACAGTTACTATTACAACTGTAACCCAGCAACTATTTCGAACAAAGATGGATTTTAATGAATGTTTCATTCATCCAAAGTCATTCTCTTTAGACCCTAACATTTATACAGAACTTGTAGAACATTATACAAACGAGGCTTTATGTTTTCCTGTTAAAGTTATGGATTGGATTCCTATGGACGGTTCATTCTCAAAGAATACAGATAGTTCAAGTGCAACATTTACAGCAGCTTATACGCCTATTAATGTTAAAAGTATTTGGGCACTATTTAGAAAGAAAGACAACTATTATGTTAATTTTGAGAACCCTAAGTTTAAATATCTTCAGCTTTCCATGGGAGCTTATGGAAATATGCCTGCAGAACCTGAAAAATCATATGGACCTGTATTTTATGAAATGGTTGCGAACGCTTGCAATACAAACAATGATATGATTGGATTTAATGAAGATGTTATGAGGTCATTGGTGGATGATGGTAGTGTGGAACATAAATGGGATAGCTATGACAACACATTTCTTATGTGGTTTTCCAACTGAAGTGGACTTTTGCTTCCAGCAAGGTCAAACATCTACTGCTCCAATAACATACAAATTGTCTGTTAAAGGACCTATTGAACTAGCAACTGAAAACGTACCAAAGCCACTTATTGGATTTATGAGGGATTGTTGCTTTGCAATACAAGTAAGACAGTCAGGCATACCAATAATAAGACTTGACGACTATAACTTAGCAACTGACGACAGTGAGGAATAAAGGATGAACGTTTATTTTTAAAGCTTATAAATGAGTTCTTCATCAAGCTCTCGTGAACCTTCACCATCTATGAAACAAACTTTACCAAACGATTATGGAGCACCTATTGAATATTTCTTACGAGCTGCACAATGGCAAAGAGCAGTCTCACCAAGGTTAGGTGTTCCACCAGCTCCTGTCAAAAATAGCATTTGGTCAAGTCCTTATATAAAATATGGTCTCCCACTAGGTTTGCTAGCTACAGCAGGAGCAGTAATGATGTTGAAAAGAAACAAAGCAAATGTTGTAAATAATACTGAAGTAGCTGAAGTTAAACAAACTTCAACACCTTCACAAGCAAAACCTTCAATGACTCCTGAACCTATGGAAGTACAAACTCCTGTTCAAAAGTCAACTCCTAAACCGACTCCAACATTTAAACCAGAACCTACTCCTCAAATAAATCGTAAAACTCCTGCGTTTCCTTACTGAAAAATAACGTTATTTTTATTTAATATTAAAATTTTTATTTGATTGAAATGACAAATAAAGTCACTGAAGCAATGAAACAAAAGTTTTTGGTAGAATACATTAAATCAGGAACTATTCCAGAAGGTTTTTACATTCATACTATGAAGGATGGTAGAGTTCAGTTTAGAAAGATAAAGCAACCATTAGATAAAGAAGGAATTTTGAGAAAGATTAAACTTCATGAGGACAACATTGCTGAACTTAAGAAGAAGCTAGAAGAGTTGGAGAAAGCAGACGACAGTGAGGAATAAAGCAATGAATTCAACAGGTTAGAAATGAGGGTAGAAATGAGGTTAGATCTACCCTTCTACCCTAAATTTATTTTTGTGCTATGTTTTCATACGTGTGAGGGTGGTGATATCATTAATTTTTAAGTTTATTTTTATATAAATGACGAAAACTATTGAGATAACAAACTACAACGGTCATGAGTTCAAGAATTTGTTCTTCGTTCCTCGTGAAAATACATTCTATCAGATACGAGGGAGAAAGGGTAAAGTTAGTTTGAGCGTTTATGAAGGAATGAAGAATGGAAAGTTTATACAAGCATACGATACAAACGGTAAACGTGTTTCATTACATTTGTCAAAACTTACTAACATTTATTTTGACAGTGACTTTGACCTATATGAAGAAGAAAGTGAGTCAGAAGATTATGAGCTGTTATGTGAAGCACAGCAATGGGAGGAGTTGCAATACTTTTGTAAGTGAGAACGTTTATTTTTTACATTAGTGAAGTCGTTTGTGAAAACGTTAGTGAAGTGAAGTGGTTGGCGGCTTTGTAAATATTTAATGTTAAGTTAGTGTTGTCGTTTGTGTTGTAAAATATACGTTACTGGTTTTGTAAATATTTAAGGTTAAGTGGTGTACGGAGGCGCGCAGTGCCACAGTACACGACTTAGCCATACTAACTTTTATTCCTTACTGCATCTGGACCGATAACGGCGGTGAAAACCGCGGTGAATTCGGCCAGGTTATGCAGGAAAACGGAATAGTTTGGAAGCACACCTTGCCGTATATGCCAAGACAGAACGGCAAGGTGGAGCGCCTGTGGCCAAGCTTAGAAAAGTTTTTGCCAGACGAGTTGGATGATATTCAACAAATCAAGGACTCAGTTCAGCAGTTCATTGAAAAATACAACAATACACCACATTTATCTCTCGATATTAATCCAAAAACGAATAGTAATTACACTCCTAACGAATTATTCGAAGTTTCAAAATTTTGGTACGAGCCAGAAATGCAAAAATGGGAGTTATATATCAAAGACGAATGGGTCTTAGCAAAATTTGAATAATTACATCATTTTAAATGACTACTAAACAATTTTATTTATGATCAAATTTTATATATTTTTTTGGATCAAATCCATTTTAATAGAATTTATATACTATTCATCTATTAGTAAACACTACCGTATATTATTTTTTAAGCTATCTTATTTTTTGAACTTTTATTCAAATCTTTGGTCGCAAGAAGAATTGCATGATAAATAAAAACATTTAATCAAAGTCAATTTTATTTTTCATATTCAAATGGACTGAGTGTTAACATTTAACATTTTTTGCTAATTGTCGTCAAAAATTAGGCGTAAAGCAAAAATTGATATTTCATATGGTTTTATGATAGATAAGCATTATATTCCCACTCATTATATTCGTAAATTTTGAGGTTTATCCTTCGCTTTTAAGATCATTGAATTTGATTTTTATATAAAATAGTTATATATTAGAAAATAATATTGTTGTAAACAGAAATTCATCAAAAGTGACACCTCAGAAAAGCTAAAATATTGAATTTTTGGAACTTTTGATAGAGCACGTTTTTAAATATTAATTAAAGTAAATGTATATTTTGTAAAGATTCTTTTTAATAAAAAAATAAAATTTTGAAGAAGAACACAAAATCTTCTGAAAAATAATATCACATAAACTCATATTATTTGCACTAATCTACTAATATTATATGTGCGAAAATAAGATAAGTTATTAGATAATAATAAACATTACAGGCGAAAAAATCTTTTTTTTCAGCCTGAAGACGCCTTGGATTTATTAATAAATCGATTTTATATATTTTTGCTGTATTTGGAAGATAATCTGTTTCATACTCCATATAATTTTAATTGTTTGCAAAATCTTATTATCAATACAAGAATTATAATAATTTTTTTTCTTGTCGAAATTCTATTCAATGCTTCATAAATGGCCGAACATCTTTGTGCTTTTAAAAATTGAATATAGTATCAATTTTATAAAATAAATAAAATTTTTGAAATCAACAATTATCACTTCATTAATGTCCAATCGGCAAAGAACAACATCCAGTACTCGAAGTTCGCAAGCATCAGGAACTCGAAACTCGCAAACACCAAGAAGTTCTCAAGCATCTGTACAAAACCCTGCTCCAACACAAACTTCTACAGCAACTATGCGCCGTTCAAGATCAGAAAGGGAACCAGCTGCACCAGTATAAAACCCTCCTCCAACACAAACTTCTACAGCAACTGTGCGCCATTTACGATCAGAAAGGGAACCTGCTGCAACAGAACAAATTCCTCCTCCAGCACAAGAAAACGTGACAGTGGTTAATCCCATTAAAATTGCGACTTCATCTGAAATTTCAGAAAATGAAATCGATCCAACAGATCCAATTTCATTTTTTACCCAAAGAGAAGCAGAATATATGGAATCATTTGTTGATGTTCCTGTAAATGATGTACCAGAGCCAAAGATCAAAGAACCACTAAAAATTAGGATCGAAGAAATTTTAAGGGAGCAACAAAATAATCGTCTCACAAAATTGACAAATTTGACATGCAAAGATTTTAGAGATTTATTACATCTTTATTTTAATACTCTTGAACACAATCATTATAAACACACTAGAGTATCATTGGAATCGAGATTGCTAATAACATTAACTTGGTTGAAACATTCTGGTTCATTTAAAGAATTCGGAGCACAATTTGGAATCAAAAAAACACATACAAGAGCTATTGTAATGGATATCATAAATAAAATTGGTTTAAAAATTGGTGAGGACTTTGTCAAATGGAGACCCTATATTTGGTGGGACGAAAGTGAAAAATCTACCGAATATCCCGGTATGCTTGGAGCTTTGGACGCTACAGTACAAGAAATTGGAAGAGCAAAAGATCAAAATTTATATTACTCTGGAAAACATAAAATGTGTTGTGTCAAAGTTCAATGTTTTGTCAGTCCCAAAGGAAGATTACTTCACTTTTCGAAACCAATCCGTGGAAAAAGACATGATTTTAGATTATTTAAAAAAAAACAAAAAATCTCATTTCTATCTTAAAAGCAGAAAAAGAATGAATGATGGCAGAAATTGAGACAGAGCCATGCTTATTAGCAGATTCAGGATATCAAGGTATTAATGATATAATACCATGGGCAAAAATTCCTTTTAAACGTCAAAGGAATACAGAATTAACAGATGATCAGAAGGAATACAACCGAAAACTCTCCAGTAATCGAATCATTGTCGAGAATTATTTTTCTCGTCTCAAACAATACTGGAGAGTGATTGGTGGTAAATGGCCATTGAAAATCAAGGGTGATCTAACATTTTATCATCACACCTTTGCAATGTGTGCAGGCCTTACAAATAAACTTTTGTGCCGACGTCCATTACGTAGAGGTGCTGAAAGATGGGATCTTTTAGATCTTGATAGCATGGATGAAAATAGCGAGGCATATAACTATCAAGAATCAGTTTCTGAAGATGACAGTGAAAATTCTTATTAATAAAAAATTATATCTATTCTTATTAATAAAAATTATTTTATTCATATATTAAAATATATAAAATTAAATTTGATTTAGAATTGCCACTCTTGGTGTGTCACTTTTATAACCGTTATATCATAAATATTAGCTTGTTACATAATTCCCTTTCCATAAATATGATAACATTCATTTAATTGTTAATTGTTGATTGTTATTAATTAGTTACATTATTCACTTTCCATAAATATAATAACATTCATTTAATTGTTAATTGTTGATTGTTAATTGTTGATTGATATTGATTAGTTACATTATTCACTTTCCATTAATATGATAACATTCATTTAATTGTTGATTGTTGATTGTTGATTGTTATTGATTAGTTACATTATTCACTTTCCATAAATATAATAACATTCATTTAATTGTTAATTGTTGATTATTGATTGTTATTAGTTAGTTCCATATTTATATATAACAAAACAAAGTAATTTTTAAAAAAAATCATATGCTCAGATACGTCTTATATATGATTAAAATATTGGCAAATACCTAACAGTATATATCCAAGAGGATTTTAGTTTTTTAATTTTTTAAAAATGTCACTTTTTACCTTATTAATTTCAATGAAAATATCACACACATCATTTTAATAATTATAAACAGTTAAATCATTCTCATCATTTTTAATAAGCTAAAATGCAGAAAAACTATATTTCATATTGCAAGCTTTAGATATCTTCGAAAAAAATGTAATAATATAAATAAGTGTAATGATTTATAATATTTTAAAATGCTTATTATTGATCATTGTTATTGAATTTAATTGCGACCTTTTCGCTTAATGAGGTCCAAAATCATGGTTCCGATTTGTTCTATGTTCGCGATTGATAAAGAAAATCGCGTTTAATTTTGATCACAATTTTCCATAAAAATCGCGATTTTTTTGAAAAATCGCGACCACAATAAAATCGCAATTCATTAAAAAACGCGATTTATATATTTAAATCGTGATTAAAAAAAGTGGTTGCGGTTTTCCCTAATATATATCTCAAGATGCTAAGTTAGGATTCCTTTCAGACTCGTACACCTATACACTATGGGACCTAACTAACTTATATTCCAAGTCCTGGGCGAATCGGACTGTAACAAGTTTCGCCGTACACCCTCTAATTTCAACTTGCAGAATTTAATAGTAGTGAAGAAGCAGCCCAAAAATCTTCGTTCACATGGTTCAAAAACATGTGTTCTTATATAAGACGCCATTATTTCTTTTTCTGATATTTTCGAAGATGAATTTTCTTAGAAATAAAACAAATAGTTCTTTTTCTAGTGGAAATGGAAACACTAGAGCTCCTGAAGAACAGAATGGCTGCCAGAATCTTCTGATCAGCAGAGGTCCAAATGGTAAAAGGCCTACGTAGATACATATTGAGGAACTTCAAAGCTCCATTTTGCAGAGATTGTGAGCTTTGGGGCTCCTCAGGCGAAGAACTGCAAAAGATTTAGCCATAAAATTTAATAGATCTTAGAAAATACAGATCAATCTATTAATTTAATGTATCCCTTTATCTATATTCAAAAAAATCAAATGATTTGGAATGATTGACAATAAATTACCATAACGTGGGTGATTTTTCACCCAGCCATAAGGATCACACTTTTGAGAGTTTTACATGGCATTTGCCGGCAAATGCCATGTAAAGTTATCTCAAATATTTTACGGTAAATGCACCGGCAACCCCTGGGAAATAATTGAGAATAAATTACATGGCATTTGCCGGCAAATGCCATGTAAAACTCTCAAAAGTTCAGCCCCTTACGGCTGGGTAAAAAATCACCCACGTTATAGATCTATGATATTTATTGATTTTTTTTGAATATAGATAAAGGGATACATTAAATTAATAGATTGATCTGTATTTTCTAAGATCTATGATATATCCCAAATCTTTATGGTCTTTGTTTTCTACATGTGTAACATAGTATTTTTTTCTTCTAATGAATTTAAGGGTATTTCATATGGTAAAATGTGTCTTTTTAAAAAATTGATAATGTCGGACCATGACGTTCATCCAAAAGAATACAACAAATTACGAAGTACTTACAAATACTATATCGATTCATATCTTGCATTGTATCAGCTAAAAACGGAAAACGAAGAAGAATTAAAGTCGATTTACAAAATGATCAAAACAGAACTGATCGATTCAAAGAAATATCCTCCCCAAATAATTATGCCGGGCATTTTAGATATCATTCTGTATAATAATCGCTATACAAAGTCATATTTATTTCTTGACAAACTCATATCTGATGATTACCATGTCACAGAGGTCAACACAGTTTCAACTATTCCAAACTTCTTGTTTTATAAAGAATATGGAATTAAATTAGACAAATCTGCCGATTTTCAAAAAATTAACTCAGAAAATCTTGAAATTCTTACAGGAGATACAATTTACAGAGCAATTGTGTATAATGACCTTGAAAGATTCATATACTTCACTGAAAGAGATGAATTTGATAAAAATCAAAAACTTATAGGTAGTTTATATCCATATTCTGAAGAAGGATATACATTACTTGAATTATGTTGTTACCATGGAGCAGTTGATTGTTTCAAGTTATTAAGAACGAAATTTAACTCAGAAATAACCCAACAATGTTTACAATTTTCATTTTTAGGAGGAAATCAAGAGATCATGAGTGAATGTTTGAAATATCAGAAACCAGATGAAGAATGCATGATATATGCAATTATTTCACACAACATTGATTTTGTTACATTCTTGATGAATGAATACAATATAGAAATCAATTTAGATTCATGTGGATTTTTTCAAAATCTTGAAGCATTTTTAGTTTATTTCGATCAAACTAATGATATAAAGAAATGCTTTGTTTATTCACCTATATTTAATATTCCATCTCTTTTCGAATACTTCCGTTTACATGGCGCAAATATCAATGTAAAAGATGAAAATGGAATAACTGCACTTCATTATGCAGCAATGAACAATAGTAAAGAAACTGCCGAAGTTCTTATTTCACATGGTGCAAATATCAATGAAAAAAATAAAGAAGGACAAACCGCACTTCATTATGCAGCAGAGAATAATAATAAAGAAACAGCCGAAGTTCTTATTTCACATGGCGCAAATATCAATGTAAAAGATGAAAATGGAATAACCGCTCTTCATTATGCAGTAGAGAATAATAATAAAGAAAGAGCCGATGTTCTTATTTCACATGGTGCAAATATCAATGAAAAAATAAAGATGGAATAACCGCTCTTCGTTATGCAGCAGAGAATAATAATAAAGAAACAGCCGAAGTTCTTATTTCACATGGTGCAAATATCAATGAAAAAAATAAAGATGGAATAACCGCACTTCATTATGCAGCAGAGAATAATAATAAAGAAACAGCCGATGTTCTTATTTCACATGGCGCAAATATCAATGAAAAAAATAAAGATGGAATAACCGCACTTCATTATGCAGCAGAGAATAATAATAAAGAAACAGCCGATGTTCTTATTTCACATGGCGCAAATATCAATGAAAAGGATAAAAATGGACAAACTGCACTTCATATTGCAGCAATCTACAATAGTAAAGAAACTGCCGAAGTTCTTATTTCACATGGTGCAAATATCAATGAAAAGGATAAAGAAGGAGCAACCGCTCTTCATTATGCAGCAGAGAATAATAATAAAGAAACAGCCGAAGTTCTTATTTCACATGGTGCAAATATCAATGAAAAGGATAAAGAAGGAGCAACCGCTCTTCATTATGCAGCAGAGAATAATAATAAAGAAACAGCCGATGTTCTTATTTCACATGGTGCAAATATCAATGAAAAGGATAAAAATGGACAAACTGCACTTCATATTGCAGCAATTTACAATAGTAAAGAAACTGCCGAAGTTCTTATTTCACATGGTGCAAATATCAATGAAAAAAATAAAGAAGGACAAACCGCACTTCATTATGCAGCAGAGAATAATAATAAAGAAACAGCCGAAGTTCTTATTTCACATGGCGCAAATATCAATGTAAAAGATGAAAATGGAATAACCGCTCTTCATTATGCAGTAGAGAATAATAGTAAAGAAACTGCCGAAGTTCTTATTTCACATGGTGCAAATATCAATGAAAAAATAAAGATGGAATAACCGCACTTCATTATGCAGTAGAGAATAATAATAAAGAAACTGCCGAAGTTCTTATTTCACATGGTGCCGAAGAATAATTAAGCTGGCCGATTCTGGTTAATAACCGCTGGGAAACGTACCCCAAGGTAAAAAAATCTGGTTTATATGGTAATAAAAAATTTTTATTTTTTTATTTTCAAAATATTTTTGGAGATATTAAATTCGTTTCCCGTATAATTTTCTGTTGCAATATACATCTACTATTCATGGTGGTGCTTACTATGCTAATTTCGTGCGAATCTCATGTATTTTTTATTACCAATTCTGGTGTTCTTTCCCCATTTTTCCCTCTCAATTTATTTACAAAACATCTCAATTTTGTAAAAAAAGTTCTCAATTCCCACCATGCCACACATGTTCTCTGGGAATAACAAGAGGTTCTCCATTATATATGGGTAAGCAAAAATTTCTCCTAGGATGACTCAGCGTGCTTTAACAATACGATTTTCCTAAGATAAAAGTTTCTTCCACAAATTTAGATTATCCTTTGATAAAAGAAGGCATTAATTCAAATATATCAATGAAATCTCAACTATATTCATTTCATATTAGCCAAAACCATAATCTCAGTGGTTTACCTCAAGATTTTTTATCCCAGATTCTATTAATCTCAATTGTATGGCCTAGTGTAAGGATATATCGATATATTACAAATATTAAGCCCCGCCTATTAATATCATCAATATCTCTTGACTTAATTTCGATTTTTACATTTTTTTTATTATTGATCAAGCCTAACATTGCAGAGATTAAATTTAACAGGTTTAACATTTTAAAAAGCTGTTAAATTATCAATTATGAGCGAAATTTAATAATGTATATCATATTGAGTAGGTTTTTGGATATATAAATTCGAATCTATAATATATGAGATGAGAAATGTAATATTACTCTTTAGAAACTCTTTTGCTTCATACTTATTTTGAAAATTGAATAATTTGATCGAAAACATTGGAATAGAAACAAAATATTTTATCTAATGATTTTTAAATCACTAATACTACTATTTTATATGTATCTTTAACATCTTTCTAATAATTTGGAGAAAAGAGAATAAATAAAGGGAAAATAAGAAGAAAAGGAGAAAATAAAGAGAAAGAAGAGAAGGAGGAAAAAATTAGGAAAAATAATAAGGGTATATTTCATATTCACTGCAAATAACTTGGTTTTGTCGTTGGCCGGAGGCGGCGACGCGCCCGAAGGGCTAGCGCTTCCACCGGAGGCCCGAATTTTTTTGAAAAAAATTTTATTACCAGTTGAGTTTCCCAGATTTTAATGGATTTAACCAGAAACGACCACCTTAAGTTATTTTATCATTATTCATTATCACCCAAATTAGAAATTCAATTCAGGATATTTCTTATTACTTTTTCAATTTCCCTGAGATCAAAAATTTGATTATAACCGAGTCAGATTTTAGCATTTATTCATCATAGTATTACCATTATAAAGGTTCTTTAATATCCTATGCTTCCAAATCAGTGTTGGTCTCTATTGTATTTCAAATAGTTCAATAATTTGAAAAAAAAAATTCTCTATATTGAGTTGCAAAAGTAAAAAATTGAGGGTATAATGATTTGAAACACTTGATATTATTTCATAAATATTTGAATTATTAAATATAAAGTGCACTCAAATATGAGTTGATTTTTATATAACAAACATAACAAAACATAAATAAATAAAAAAATCTATTTCTTTTTCTTTCCTAAGCTCAGTGCTGCTAAAATATCATTGTCTACTTGAGCCTTCTGCTGTCCTGGAGGTGGATTTTCTTTTGGTTTCTCAGCCTGTTTCGGCGGATTTTGTGGTTTCATTTGAGATGAATATTCCGAACTCATTAAGTCATCTTTCTTCTTGACTTCTCCATGCTTTGGTTCATATCCTTGTCTTTTAGATGCTTTTGCAGGTTTATGGGCTTTTTTGTGCCTCTTTACTTCTGAAGAAGAAGATTCGAACTCATCTTTATAAACATCTCTTTTTGGTTGAGATTTTGGCTGGTTCAAAGCTAAGTGCAAAGTTGGCTTCTTATTTATAACAATTGGTTCTTGTTTCTCGTTTTTAGTCTGCTGGGCATCATTTATTAAATCATTAAACGAATCATCTGAATTCTCGTTTGATTTTGGCTTGTTTTCAACTTTGTGCGGCTGTTGTTTTGGTTCTGGCTTTGAATTATCAAGTAATTTATCAAAGCTGTCTGAATTATCTGATTCATCGTTTGTAATTTTCTTTTCTGGCTTTGGCTCGTCTTTAAGACCGGATTTACTTTGTGATTTTGGAATAGGCTTATCACTTGAATCGTCGGAACTTGAAGCAAATTCAATTGTATCAGATTTCTTTTTAGCAGATTCTGATGAGGACTTGAATTGAAGTTTATCTGATTTACTCGAACTTGTGTCTTCGATTTCAACTTGCGTTTTTTCGCTTTCTGATTGCTTTTGATCGTTTTTAGTTGAAATTTTGCTATTGTTCTTGGATTTCGACTCATCTTTTGTATCTTGAATTTTTGATTCCGATTTATCTCTTTTTGGTCCATTCTTTTCTTCATTACCTTTAGTTTCTGAACTTTGATTTGTTGGGCCTTTCTTTTCTTCAGCCTTTTTAGATTCAGATTTTTCTTTCTTAGATTCACTTTTTTCTTCATCATTTGATTTCTTCTTTATGCCTTCACTTTTCTCTTCTTTAATTTTTGATTCAGATTTTTCTTTCTTTGACTCGCTTTTTTCATCAATTTTCTTGGATTCACTCTTATCTTCATCATTATCTTTCTTTGAATTTGATTTGCTTGGCTGGTCCTTTGGTTTTCTTTGGGGATCTGGAGTTGTAGTGTTAACAATGATTGGTCCTTCACTAGAACTCGATGAACTACTGCTTGATATACCATTTGACTTAGATTTGGATTTCGACTTTGATTTTTCGGAATTATCATCAGAATCTTTTGCTTTACCTTCAGATTTATCTTTACTTGAAGATTTAGACTTTGAAGAACTTGAATCTGATTCTGATGTATCTTTTTCTGCTGGCTCTGGCGGAGGTGGAGGTCTATAATTTTTAATTCTGTTGGCCATCTCAATTTGCTGCAATCTATATGACAAAAGAGCCGTCCTTGCCATACTCATGATTTCGACATCTTCTGGGGCCACTTCTTCAATTGATTTCGCAAATCCTTCTCTAATTGCTTTTTCTTTCTTCGATTGTTGAATGAAATATCCCTCTTTCTTAACAGAATCATGGATCTTCTTTTGTATTTCGTCAATTTCTCCTTCATCTTCGATATGAATTTTGTGACGGAAATAATTATCAACGCGCCTAGTTAAGTACTTAGGAATGTTTAAGGATGATATCTCAAGAGCCGGACTGTCAAATAAAACAACTGGTTTTGTTTTAAATAAATTCGAAGAATTAAAATTAGGAGTAATTTTTTTCGCTTCTTTATCTTCATTCTTTACTGGAGATGTCTGAGTAAGCATCGTATTTGTTTCAGGTGCTGATGAAGTACTTCTAATGAAAGTTTCAACCCAAGATCCAGATTGTAACGAAGAATTTTGTTTGCGAATTGTTTCTTTCAGTACATCAATTTGATTATTTAAATTTTTAGTTTCTTCTGTAAAATCGTCATCTCCATTTTTACGAATCGTTAACCACGCGTGTTGGAAATTTGGGTGCATAGAAATAATATGCTTATCTAAATAAGTAGAATTTTTAAACTTAAGTCCACAAGCAGGGCATTTTTCCATTTCTTTTAATTTATGAATGCGTTCTTGAAGTGTTTTTACTTTGTTTTTCAAAGAATTGGTTTTGTCATTCAACGAATCATTGTTGCCTTTGAATTCTTCGTTTTCTCTGTTAATTAAATCGTTTGAATTCATTAAATATCGCATTATAACTTGTAAGAGTCTTAATAAATGAAATACTGTTGGATTATTTACAAATTGAAAGTCTTGTTTAGATAGTGATGCACTTAAAAATGCACTTATAATTTCAGACATTGAATCAAAATCTTGATCTGCGTTTAATTTACTCGGATTATAGTTCCCTACTAGTGACCAATCAAAATACATCGGGCCTGTTCTTGGCGTTTTTTCAACATTTTCATTCATATAAAATTTTGTTTACAATTTGTAAAGTTTCTCCATACTGCATATTAGAGTTGGAGAAGATTTTTCTCCATCCGAGATCCTTAGTTATATGCTTCCAAATGGCATGCAACTATAGATCAGACCAATATTTGATCTATTGATTTTCGAGCAACAAATATTTTTTTTTTTAAAAAAATACGTGCTTCTCTTTTAAATAGAGAGTAAAATGTTAATTTATGGTTGAATGCATTTGTCTTTAAAAATTTGATTTAATTACTCAGCAATATAAAAATCAAAATTTACTTGGGCAATTTATTTTGGAGCATAGGCACGCTGAAGCTTAGCGAATGTAACCTTAAGGTGGCGCATTTCGCCGGAGCCCTGAGCACGCTTGCGGTGAGCCTTCTTTTCCCAGTCATAATGGCGCATTGTGGCATCTGGATAGCCGCACTTAGCGCATTTGCCCTTCTGGATGTGGAAGCAGCGGTTTCCGCAGCGACGGCAGATTGTGTGTGTCTTGTTATGTCTTGGACCAAATGATGGTGTACCAGCACCCATGTTTCGTAAGGTCAGACCAAACCATTTGTAAAGTTCTCAAAATAAATCTAAAATAACTCAATGGAAATGATTGAGTTTTTGAATATCACATGAGATAAAGAGCCTAATTAATCGAGAATATATCCTATTTATGAACCAAATTTTTTCATTTACGTGAAAAACTAAATTGTTTCCGAGAGATTGAGTGCGGGACAAATTTGCCAGGTGTCACTTTTTCAATAACCTTAAATTACGCTTTTCTAATTTTTTAAAATAACCTTAAATTATATTTGAAGAAATTATGTCTATGATATATGTTTTATGCTAGAATCTTGGAGTTTTCATGCACTACACAAGAGCTCCAAGGTTCCAAGAGTGAATGCTCAATAGCAATTATAGAGATGTACCTTTTCAAAATGACTTTTACTGATTAAATTTAATCAATAGAAGACATTTTGAAAAGGTACCTCTACAATTAGATATACAAGAGATTCAAAGCTTCATTTCAGATAGATTTGAAACTTTGAAACTCTTGGTAGATTTTGAGTGAATGCTGACAATCATCTTTGAGAAGGTTTTCTTTAAGAAAACCTTCTCAAAGAGGTTTCTCAGGAGCCCTGAGGCTCCCTTTCGTAATGATTGGGAGCCTTGGGACTCCTGAGACGAAGAATGGCTTCGCCGAATCTTTGATCAGCAGAGGCCAAATGAAAAGGCCTCTGCTGATGGATTCTCAGGAGCCTGAGGCTCCCTTTCGTAATGATTGGAGCCTTGGGACTCCTGAGACGAAGAATGGCTTCGCCGAATCTTTGATCAGCAGAGGCCAAATGAAAAGGCCTCTGCTGATGGATTCTCAGGAGCCCTGAGGCTCCCTTTCGTAATGATTGGGAGCCTTGGGACTCCTGAGACGAAGAATGGCTTCGCCGAATCTTTGATCAGCAGAGGCCAAATGAAAAGGCCTCTGCTGATGGATTCTCAGGAGCCCTGAGGCTCCCTTTCGTAATGATTGGGAGCCTTGGGACTCCTGAGACGAAGAATGGCTTCGCCGAATCTTTGATCAGCAGAGGCCAAATGAAAAGGCCTCTGCTGATGGATTCTCAGGAGCCCTGAGGCTCCCTTTCGTAATGATTGGGAGCCTTGGGACTCCTGAGACGAAGAATGGCTTCGCCGAATCTTTGATCAGCAGAGGCCAAATGAAAAGGCCTCTGCTGATGGATTCTCAGGAGCCCTGAGGCTCCCTTTCGTAATGATTGGGAGCCTTGGGACTCCTGAGACGAAGAATGGCTTCGCCGAATCTTTGATCAGCAGAGGCCAAATGAAAAGGCCTCTGCTGATGGATTCTCAGGAGCCCTGAGGCTCCCTTTCGTAATGATTGGGAGCCTTGGGACTCCTGAGACGAAGAATGGCTTCGCCGAATCTTTGATCAGCAGAGGCCAAATGAAAAGGCCTCTGCTGATGGATTCTCAGGAGCCCTGAGGCTCCCTTTCGTAATGATTGGGAGCCTTGGGGCTCCTGCAGCAGAGTATCGCTCCGCTCCATTAAATTTTTTAAAAAAAGTGCCGTGTGGCAAATTTGTCCTGTTCCCCATCTTTATTATTTTTTTTATTCCTTTGAAAAGTGACACTGGATAGTTTGTCCCTTTCTCCCGAGAGATTCATAGTGATTTTGAATTACCATATAATGTAGATGATTATTTTGATATAAGAATTAAGATTGAGCCATGTTTCATGATAAATTCGACATTTTTTCTTTGAATTATGAATATTTAAGCTGTTTTAGCAAGTATATAGGTAGATGATGCTGATGAAAGTCCTGTGATATATGTACATGTCAATTTTATACATTAATTATTAATAAATTTGATGACTAAAAATATCACAAATGTCAGTTGTATATACGATTGTCTAGTAAAGATATATCAAATTAAATTTTTTCCCAGAATCGCTCTGAAAATTGAAAGTTTGATGGGAAACCTTTTTTTAAACGTACACTTTGGTATTTTATATTAAATTCTTTTCAAACATTCAAAAAGGATATGCAATTCATACGAAAACATCAATGAATTTAACGATTTCAATCATTTTTCATGAATGGACCGAAACCTGCACATCAATTCAAAGTTGCAGGCATTGAGGTCCCATTTCCACATGAGAAACCATATGCAGCACAAATGGCTCTTATGGCCGGTGTCATTAAGTCAATGAGAACAGGGCAAAATGCAATTTTGGAATCTCCTACAGGTACAGGTAAGTCAATTGCGCTTTTATCAGCAGCTTTAGCATTTCAAAAGTCTCAAAAAGAAGTAAACATCACACCTCCGGGCCAAATCGACCCTCCAATTACAAAATCATATCTTGGATTCTTCCCACCAATGAAACTTGTTCATACAGATCAAGAAATCTTCTCACCATTACTTACACAAGGTTTAAATCCAAGTGAAATACCTAGATATTCAGAATTCGAAGGAACAGAAGGACCAACAGATTATACTACAGATTTTTACGTCAAGCGTAAGCAACATGCAGGTCAAATATGGTATGCAACACGTACACATCAACAACTAAAACAGCTCGTCAAAGAAATGAAAAAATTACCTTTTCATCCTCAAATGGTCATTATGGCCTCAAGAGCGCAAGTATGTGTTAACCCAAAGATCATGAATCAATCAGATGTAGATGGTCATTGTAGCGACTTACAAAAAAACGGCGGATGTCCTTATGACAAGAAAAAAGGCATTCCAAAGGAATTCAAGCCAAACGGGATATTAGACAAGTTCGAGATTGAAGATCTGAAAGACTGGTGTCGAAAGAACAAAGGCTGCCCATACTTTATTTCAAGAAAAATGATGATGGCAGCTGATATCGTCTTTTGCCCCTACAATTATTTTTTAGACCCCAAAATAAAAGGTCAAATGCAACTCGACCTCACAGGTGTTTATTTAATCATCGATGAAGCTCACAACATAGAGAACAGCTGTAGGGATGGCGGATCTTTCCATCAATCAAGGAAAGATTTGGAATGGGCACTGATGTATCTAAGAAAATCTATTAAAAAAAGTGACATCCCATCATTACGAAAAGCATTTATGATAGTATTAGAATTAATCACTAAAGAGTATGAGTGGTTCACATCTACTACTAAATACCTTCGATTGCAGGGTCAAAAAGAATTTATAGTCAGAGATAATAAAGCTTTTTATGACAGTCTCAGATTAAATCTCTCTTTTTATACCAAACTAGTTGCAGCTTTCGATTGCATATTTAAATTCTGCAATACAATGAATTTTCCACAAATTTACCAAGAAGCCGATAAAATTCCAATGATTTTAGGTGGAATATTGGAGCAACAATGGGTTGCAATTGCTCTCACACTAAAATATGATCTAAGAAACTACGCATTTGCAATTGTTCTTGGAGATGACGAAAGCAACGATATTTTCCATGGATTATGCATGAATCCAGGTGCAGTATTCCATAGACCAGGCACAGAAGCAAGCAATGTCATTCTTTCCTCAGGAACTTTGACACCATTAGAAGAATTTGAAAATGAATTCGGAGTTCCATTCCCTATCAGACTGTCAGCCCCTCACGTGATATCCCCTGATCAAGTTGTCGGTTTTACGATCACTAGTTGTGACAATGTTACTTTATCATCAAGACATCAATATCTTGAAAGCCAAGGAATGAGAAACGACGTTAATCTCAAACTTGCAGAGATATTACTTCATATTTTACCTGTTATTCCTAATGGCGTTTTATTCTTCGTCACATCTCATTCGTTTTTAATGAGAATGCTGGATGCATGGCAAAAAGCAGGTCTTTATGAAAAAATTGACAAAATCAAGAAAATTTTTTACGAAACTCCTGATTCCGATCCCGAATTCTTTGACAAATACAAGGCATCGTGCGAAGAAGGAAGCTTGTTGATAGGTGTTTTCAGAGGAAGAAGCAGCGAAGGTATCGATTTCGTTGATGAACAAGCGAGAGCAGTTATTGTTTTCGGAATTCCTTTTCCAAGTTATTATGACATCGATGTCAAATTGAAGAAGGAATACAACGACTACAAGAACCAAACAGGAAATGTTTGGTATGATACACAAGCGTATAGGAGTCTTTTCCAGGCTTTAGGTCGTTGTATAAGACACAAAAATGATTTTGGTTCTGTAATTTTGATTGACCAACGATATCCTAATGAATTACATCGTTTTCCAAAGTGGTTGAAAACTCAAATTAGAAATGATGTCGGGTTAAATCAAATTGTAACAGAATTGTCACGCTTTTATCAAAGAATGAAAGAAAAATTCCCAAGAAAAATCAGTCTGAAAATGAATGAAAAATTGACATTTTATTGTTGTGATTGTCATTCTCTTGTTGTAGATTGTAAGAAGGTTAAAGATGGGCAGAGTTTCCAGATAACAAAGAATGGATTCTTATCTTTGTCTGATGCTGAACAAAAAGAACATTATTTGATAATCCAGAAAAATGATATTGAAGAAATGAAATTGAATTTCTTTTCTCCCGTTTTCAAAGAAGAAGATAAACTTGTATACGAAAAATGTTTTTGCGATTGCGGAAACTGTTTAGGAGTTAGAGTGTATGCGGCTTCTTCTGTTGAAAGAAGTTCAATTGGAAGTTTATTCCTTCTTCTAAGCAGATTGAACGTAAAAGTTGGAAATAACTTCGTCGGAATACAACCAACTGAGAAAAAAGTTTCTAAGAATGTTTTTAATGCGTACTTTTAGAGTAAATTGTTATTTGTTTATAGTTTTGTTCAAATGGAAATCAATCTTTTTAAGAATAATATCTTGCTTGAGATAGTCAAACAAGAATGATGGATTTAGACACTATTAGATTTTACATGCATTGTATCTTGAATCATATTATTTCAATCAATCAAACAATGTTGGATATTTGAAATCTTTGGGAATATTCCCCTCTTGTCTTGAGAGAATAACAATGAAAGACATAGATTTGATAATACTGTTATTCATTATTTTCTGAAGAAAAGATGCAGTAAAACATATAATTTCACGTGAGAAATTCTATAGAAATAGTTCAGCGTATTATTTCACACGGCGTAAATATTCATGAAAATGGAAACAATGGAAAAACGGCTCTTCATTTAGCAGCAAGGAAAATTTGTAAAGAAATGGATGAAATTCTTATATCATTTGAACCAAAAATCAATTATTGCTACACCTATTGAGTAATGGGGAAATTTAGTTTATTATTTCTTTGATATATCAATTTGGGGAATGTTGAACCAAACTGATTTTGAATTTACATAACAAAGTTCAAACAAAAGCTATCAGTGGAAGTTTAAAGGGTGTATCTTTACATTAATTAAAATTTAACCTGAAATTCAGTATCTATATGTAATTCTCGCGATTTTGTAACAAGGTATAAAACATAATAAGTGAATTATTTATTAAATCAATTTGGATTTTTGTTCTTATTTCTGATAATTTATATCATATTTAATGCATTTATATATAATAACATATATTTTTATTTTATTTGGTAGATTTAATTTCTTTCTATATATGTTGTAGATTGTGTTTTACAAAAAAATAAAATGTAAAAATAATTTACTTTCCGAGGGCAAGAGCACGGAATTCAGCATAGTCAATCTTGCCATCTCTGTTCTTATCTGCTTCGTTAATCATTCTACGAACAACTTCAGCGGATGAGTCGAGACCTAAGCTAATTAATAATGAACGAAGTTCGTTTGGTGTAATAAATCCATCTGTATCGCGATCGAAAACTCTGAATGCTTCTCTAAGTTCATCTTCGATGTCTGACTGTCTCATTTGACGTGACATCAAAGCAAGGAACTCTGTAAAATCGATAGTATCATTACCGTCGGCGTCGACTTCGCGAATCATATCTTGTAATTCGTTAGCTGTTGGAGACTGGCCAATAGCTCTCATAACTGCTGCAAGATCATCAACTGTGATAACTCCATCACCATTTCTGTCAATAATGTCGAATGCTTGACGGAATTCCTGAATTTGGTCTGCAGTAAGGGTTTCCACCATTTTGTAAATTCTTTACAACCGTTTACAATTTTGACATCTGGATTTCATACGTTTTAATGCATTTATCATGAATTTAGCCCAGAAAATGCATAACAATCATTTTTCATTATTGCATTTTCTTAGAAATCTTTGAGTATAGTTACAATTAAGTCAAACTATTCAAAATATATGCAAAATCATGATCTACTCAATAAACCTTACCATAAAATGTGCACGACGTTCATTATTAAAGTTGTTATTTTATTTCTGATGAAATCCATCTTCGAAATTTCTTAAAAAGAAAAGAAAAGCATCTGATATAGAAAAGTTATTTTAGGTACCATGTGAATTAAGATGTTCGGCTGTTTCTTTACTATTATTATATGCTGCATTCAGAAGAGCAGTTCCAATGTATCAATTAGTGGTGCATCACGCCGATAAATTAAGAAAAAATCTAAAATCTTCAAAATCTTTATAAAAAAAGTGACGAAATAGAAACACAGGAAAATGTCTTCTCGGCGCAAATTCACAGCTGATAAGCTGGCGAAGCGTTATGTCAAGAAAGAGAAGAATATCGAAGATGAAAACGAATTTTCTTCTGAAGCCGAAGAAAGTGAAGTAGAAACAGAATTAAAATACAATCCATCTTTAATTAGAAAGGATGACGTACCAGAAATTGATGTAACAGAACACAAAAAGGCAGATTTCGAAGATCACGCAGATTTTAGTGAATCAGCTTCTGATGCTGAAGAAGATTATAGTAATGAAGAAGAAGAAGGTCAAAGTGGCAGCGATGATGTTGACGAATTAGCAGAAAGTGGCGATGAGAGCGATCATTTACTAGATATTAAAGCAGGTGAAGTAGATGCACTTGCTGCAGAAATTGAACAAATTGATGAAGAAGCCGAAGAATCTGACATTGTATCCTTAGTAGCTAAACAGAGAGAAGAAGATCTTAAGATTGCACATGGTGTTTCAACTCTTCAAGATCAGAAAAAGAGAATTTTAACTTTATTCCTCAAAATTCATCCTCTTATATCATTAATCAATCAATTACCACCAGTATCACTTGATGATGATGCTGAATTCTCACCATATTCACTTGCAGCCGAAGATCCCGAAATAAATCAAGCATTTACAGACGCATGCAAAGCAATTGACGTAGTATGTCAAGATTTTGCCGAGCTTCGTAAAACACTCGACGGATTTTACAAATGGGAAGAAGATACAGTTACAGATAAAATGATGGACATTATTTCACATTGGGGACAGAAATTACGTCAAGCTGCAGGTATACGCAGTGGCACAGTTATTAACAGACCTATCGAACAACAGATTACCTCATCTCTTCGCGACATGGAGACATTAACACAGCCAAGTCGCAGAGTTACAGAAAAACGCGTTTTTGGTGTTGAAAAAATGCCAGATTTCCTTCGCTGCAACTACAATGATGATGATTTCTACGACAGACTCCTTCGCGAGATTGTTGCTGAAAAGAATCCAGATGTTCTTGCAAAAGTTAAGAAGACAAATCCAACAAAAGCTGGACTTAAATCAAAACAGATTTCTTATGAAGAAATTCCAGAATTAAGGAACTACATGACTGCAACAATGCAGCCAGTTCCAGATAGCATTGATGCAATGCTCAAGTCACTGATGGGTGGCAAATAATAGAATATATAAAATATTTGATAACTTTTTAATTTATCATTCGAATTTTTATAGAATATTAGATAGAATATAATGCAGTTTTTCCATTATAATATGGCATCATGTGAAATAAGAAGTTCGGTGGTTTCTTTATTTTTAAAAATTGCTGTATAATGAAGAGCAGTTTTACCTTAAATATATTACTTAGCCGCTTTCCTCTCTAATATGATATAATGACAATGAATGGAAGATATAAGTTAACCATAGTGAAGTACGTCATAATATGGGAGTTTTAGCTACCCGTATCTCTAGGATATTTCTTCATATGATGCATCTAATCTGATTTGAATTCAAAATATTGACAACGAGTTCAAAGCATCATTGAAAAATAACCTTAAGGCCATGCCATTAGAGCCTGAAACAGGCATATATAGGAATATTTATGATTCTTAGCAGGGTGATTGGAAATTATAGATTAAATATAAAGAATTCCATAAATCTGTTATAGATTTCCTAGTAAACTCTAGGATGAGATACTGTGTAATTACCAATAATATATCGGCAATTTATTTGGAAATATGTACAACGGATCCTTGGAACAAGTAAATATATTTATAAAAAGTGACAATCGTATGTGTACCCCTGAAGCGCTATTACCAATTTTTACTGATTTTTTATCGAACAACACGGACAAAAATAATGCGGCTAGCAAGCAAATCTTCGAATATCGCTCTCAGTCACCATTAGATCTTTTATTATCCGCATCTGCGATTTCATTAGACAATGATATTGATCAAAATTTTGTACACCTTGCGCTTACTGTTATAACATCGATCTTAAAGCCTTCTACCATGCAAAGCCAGAATGAAATCAAAGAATTCTGGAAATCAATATCAGAGGATCAAAGACAAACAATAAGAAATGCACTGATCCACGGTTTAATGTACAGCAATGCAGGAACTAGGTCAATATCTGCAAAAGCTTTGGGTTATTTATTTACATTTGCAATTCCCTGCAATGAGCGCAATACTGTCTTCCCATTATTACGAGAACTCTTCACAAATACAGATTCCTACGGAGAATATGCAAAATTTGGTGCGATTTCAGTAATGAACACAATTTTTGAGTTAAAATCGTTTATTGTTAAAGCATATCCAAATTATTTAACAGACGTTGACATAACCATGCAATGCTGCTCAGAAATTTTACAATTAAGTCCAAAAACAGACAATGAAAATTTAAATTTTGCTTTTCAATGCATTTACAACTGCGCAGTGAACTACCAAGAGCGTAAAACAGATATATTTGAAGATAACGAGCGAGCACTCGCATTATACAACTTAATTTTCTCATTTTTCAACATTGATGATACAGATTTACACAAAACTCTTTATGATTTACTTTTACTCCTTCTCAAAGACAAATATGAGGAGTCTTCAACAATATTCCCCGAGATATTCAAAGTTATTTCGGTAGATTTCCAACATAATAATGAATCAATTGTAAAACAGTGCATAGACTTCTGGGATGCACTCTGTAGTTACGAGTCAAGTATTATCAGTACAATAGAAGACCCGCCAAACTATATTAGGCAAGTTTACGAAACAATTGTCGAAGAATTGCTGAATTGGCTTTCCCAAGACTACGAAGATGAAGAATCAAGAGACGACAGTAGTCTTTTCCATAAAGCTATCGAAGCGCAGAAGTTAATCGAGTCGTTCGGAAAATTCCTGCCTGATGAAATTTTGCCAATTTTGGTAAATTTCTTTTCTACGAACATTGTGTCGTCAGAATGGCGTCCAATACAAGCCAGTCTACTCGCTATAAGGGCTGCCTTGAATATCGCTAAAAAAGACGCCGAAGAACTCTTGAATTTCTACGATGGAATCATAACTCTCTGCGGCCATGAAAATTCGGCGGTTAGGGAAACTTCCCTTTTGGTTCTATCGGAATTAATTGTCACTTTTCCGAAAAAATTAGAACCGAATTTTGACGGGTGCATGGAATTAGCAATTAATCATATATCAACAAGTCCTCGTGATGCTGCTTATGCGTGTATCTTGATTTCGAAAATTTTGAAAAATTCAACTTTTACATTTGAGCAGTATGAGCAATTAGAGCATGAACTATTCAATCTGATTGACATGGAATTTACCTGTGGAGCAGTTCCTCTGAATAGAGCTATTGTTAAGGTGTTTTCTTCGTTAATTGACTGTATTTCGATTAATTTGCTCGATACAGATAACGTAGAAGCAATTAATAGGAGAGCAAACATGTTAATAAGCATATTGCATGGTATTGCTGATCGAATTTTGAAAGTTTCTGAAATTTCTGATTCAAATATTCACAATATCATCCTATATTTGCTTTCTCAGATCAATTTCAAGATATGCCAAGCATATATCTTCTCATATGACACTACTCGCTGTCACTGCTACACTGAACAGATGCAAATTTCTTGTCAAACGGTAATAGAACCTGTATTCAGTCTTTTCGATATCCAAAACCCATCTACCGATATTCTACATATAATTGCAGACATAGTTCGTGCAGGAAAACTCGTAGAAGTTTACGAACAATTATTACCTATCTTTTCTCAATTGATTCAAACGGAAGAAGCATCAATATCAAACTTTGTGTGCAAATTAATGTCACACATGTTCATTTCGGAGTTTGTTCAAGTAACTTTACCAAATATTGAAAATTTCCTCCAAATTTTAGTTGCCAAAAGCTCTGATGAGTATTGTACTGTGCAGTCATTCATTTCTATTGCGTCATTGGCCGGCTCACTGATCAGGATTTGCGAAGAAGGTTCTCATTTTGATTATTTACTGACTTTTCTTGAATTTGCAAGAAATGTTTATGTAAACAGACTCACCATGATGACCACAAGCGAATACCCCGACTATATCGAGTCTGTTGTTAGTTTAGACATCATATTTGTTAGATCTGCTAACACAAACTTCGATTCTAGCATTTACAATCCAAGACGACTTAAATTCATATTTGATGTGATCAAACTTGCCGAAGAACTTCCTGAAATTCCAACAAACATCTACAGTTTAGTTTTTCTTTTCATAAAAACTTGTGCGATGTCGAAGAAATTGAAACAGATGGTTAATGTGTATCTGCAACAGTACTACACTAAAATGTACGTGGATAGCAAGGCCCAGGCAGTTCTAATAGCAAGGAATGAGAAAGATCTCGCCAAATTAATGAAATCTTTCTATTCTAAACTTTCAAATGTTTAGAAAAAAAAATTTTATTATATATATTTTGTTTGTTTTAGATACATAAACTATAAAAATTTATGAATTTATATTTCATTAAGGGTGCACTTACGCCCCTATTACACGGCTTTCAATTCGGATGTTTAAGGTTAATTTTCAATGGCGCTTCACGCCGGATGTCAGAAATTTGAATTAAAGTCAGATGGGCGTAAGTGCAGCCTTAAGGATTCACTTCTAAACACTTGTCATCATATTTATATGATTCTTATCAACTTGTTCTTTTAAATATATTGGAGAAATAGCCATTCATAATGCAGTAATTTTATATTACAGGCAAACTTCTTATTTCGTAAGGTGTAAATACAAATCAAAAAGATAAATTTGGAGAAACTGCTCTTCATAATGCAGCAATTTATATTACAGCTTATATACATGCTGAATTAATTCAGAAAGTCTAGTCTCAGTTTTTAGGTGTTCAATACAATAAATTGAATTACCCATATGATTCATTCAATTAAAAATTGTACTAATCTATGCGTTATGTTAGATTTTGCGAAATATTTTTGATATCTACTGAATACACAATAAAATATTATTTGGATACCGCTTAGAGTCCAAATATTATTACCACTCAAAAAAAAATGAATTCGTGAGATTTTACTAAATGTATGCATTATGTTGCATAAGAAAAAGAATTATTTTTTGCACTATGTGGTATCATCTAATCAGTGTCTTTTCAGGAATAATTCAATGTCATGAGCAGTTCTTCCTCTTCTATCTCTTTCATTAACATTTATTCCATGTGAAATGAGGAATTTGGCTATTCCCTCATATCCACTAAGTGTTGCAACATGAAGAGCTGTTTGTCCAAAATTATTTTTTTCGTTGATATTTATACCGTGTGAAATAAGAATTTCGACAATCGCTCCTTCCTCATTCATTGTAGCACAATGAAGAGCGGTTTGTCCATAATTATCTTGTTCATTGATGTTAATACCATGTGAAAGAAGAACTTCAACTGCTGCTTTGCTATGATTATATGCAGCAACATAAAGAGCTGTTTGTCCCTTGTCATCTTGTTCATTGATATTAATACCATGTGAAAGAAGAACTTCGATTGTTTCTTTATTTCTTTGACATGCTGCACTGTGAAGAGCTGTTTGTCCATTGTTATCTTTTTCATTGATATTTATTCCGTGTGAAATAAGAATTTCGATTGTTTCTTTTCCACCAAACGTTGTTGCAAAATGAAGGGCAGTTAGTCCGTTTTCATCTTTTTCATTGATATTTGCACCATGTGAAAGAAGGAGTTCGACTAATTCTTTATAATTTTCTAATGCTGCACAGTGAAGAGCAGTTTGTCCAAGTTTATCTTTTTCGTTGACATTTGCACCGTGCGAAATAAGGATTTCGGCTATTTCTTTATAATTCTTTCTTGCTGCAATATGAAGAGCAGTTAGTCCATATTTATCTTTAACATTGATATTTACACCATGTGAAAGAAGGACTTCGATTGCTTCTTTACTTTTATTGCTTGCAGCAATGTGAAGAGCGATTTGTCCTTTTTCATCTCTTTGATCGATGTTTGCACCGTGTGAAAGGAAATATTCACAAAGAGATGGATTAAATTTGACTGATTTATGAAAACATTTGTTGATGTCATTAGTTTTATCGAAATAAACTAAAAATGGTTCAATGTTATTGTATTTTGTACAATAATCTAAGTTGATATCGATATTGTGTTCATTCATCAAGTATGTAACAAAATCAAGGTTGTGTGAAATAATTGCATATTCCATGCATTCATCATTTGGTTTTTGAGATTTCAAGCATTCACTCATGATCTCTTTGTTTCCACGTAAAAATGAAAACTGTAGGCATATTTTAGTTATTTCTGAGTTAAATTTTGTTCTTAATAACTTGAAACAATCAACTGCGCCGTGGTAACAACATAATTCAAGTAATGAATTTCCTCTATCACAATATGGATATAAACTGCTTTCAAGTCTTTGATCTTTATCAAATTCATCGATTCCGGTGAGTGTGATGAATCTTCCTAAGTCATTATTCATAATTGCTCTGTAAATTGTATCTTCTGTATGAATGTTGAGATCTTCTGATTCAATGTCTCCGAAAAATTCGGATTTGTCTAATTTAACTCCATATTCTTTATCAAACAGGAAGCTTGAAACAAGTTCAACATCGTGGACCTCTTCCACATGGTAATCATCAGATATGAATTTGGCAAGGGATAAATACGACTTTGCATAGCGATTGTTATACGGAATTATATTTAATATGTCCTGCATAATCTTTTCTGGTAGGTATTTCATTGAGTCAATCAATTTTGTTTTGATCATTTTGTAAATCTCTTTTAATTCTTCTTCTTTGTCTGTTTTCAGCTGGTACAATGCATTATATGAATCAATGTAGAATTTGCAGAGACCTTGCAATTCACTGAATTTTTTGGATCAATGCCTATTTCGGACATTAATAATTTTGAAAAAGATCACATTAGCATATTATAATAATTATCTTATAAATTCATTAAAAGATATAAATAACGTGTGAAATATGTGAAAAACAATGATCTCAAAGATTTCGGAAATAATTTATTTCATTAATGATGTTTAATTAAATTCATAGATATGAAATGACACAATAGCAATAGAAAATCCGAAATGGAAAATTCGATTTAATTTTATGATCTGAATCCAGATGATTACTCTAAAATTATTTACAGGGTCTTATTTATATCGGTGCGAAGCGCCAATAAATAATCGATGAAAAGTGACAGAAAAAAATGATTTCTTCATTAGTAAATAAGCAAAATCAGCTTTTCCAATCCGAAATTGTTCGATCAGGATCAGTATCTATTCCTTTTTACAATAGTGTAATCAAAGCAACATTCGATTCAAGTAAAAATGGACAATTATTTGGAAAAGTTCAAACAACAATGAATTATCCAAAGAGTAAATATATCATTGAAGCATACAGTTATGACGAACCTATGCGTGTTATTGTCAAGTCATTACAACTAATTCCAAATTTAACTACCACAGCTTTGCTTTCATTCAATCCATCGGCCGCGTCAATGGCAAAGGCAGTATATGTACATAATTTAAACTATATGCTTATTAAGCAAAAATTCAGTTTAGATTATCAGAAAAATGATGAAGGTGAAAATCCAGTATCCTTCACATCAGCCACGAAAATAACAAATAGCCTGTACTCATTGAACATAGATTTATTCAATAATTTCAATTTATTCCAAGTTAATTTCTTATCCCGCAAATTCCTTAATATTGGCGGATCATTTACATATGATTTCACAAGAAAACTTCTTTGCGATGGTAGTTACATTTTTTCATACGATTCCCCAAAGTTTTTACTATCAACATCAGGAAGACTTGTTGTAGGCGAAGTTGATTTAACTATGATTGCTCAATTAACCAAGCGTACCAAGGCTGGCTTCTCCCTGAAGGCAGAACACATCGGTATCGATCCAGACAGCAAATGGAAAGATGCTGACTATACTTGTTCGGCTGCAGCCAAAATTATGATTGACGATGACGCATATTTCAGAGCCATTGTGTCTTCTAACCTCACTTCCGTTCTAGAATTAACAGTAAATTGTCCTGACTTCTTGAAGTTGAAATTTTCTGCTAACTCGGCTATCAAAGAGTCCAAATTGCAGAATAACTTCGGAATTGATATCGGTTTCGATTTGGCTCACTTCACTCATTAATTTTGATTTTTTGTTTTGATTAAAGTGTTTTTCATATTAGTTTTGTTATAAAGCGCATGTATTTCTTTCGATTTAATTAATTAGATACAAAAATATGCGATTTTAATTGTGCACATTGATAGGCATATATGTATACATGAGTTCTGACAACTTGTCGCTTAATAATTTTTTGCATCGGCAACAGATCGATCTAAGCTGAGAGAGAATATCATTAACTAAGTAAAATTTAGGATATTACAGCTTATACATGCATATATCTGCTCTAGGAATTGAAAAAATTCAAGAATGCAAAAGGCTTGTCAAAAATTATCTCATTGATCAAATAATCTATTAGAAATATGAATAATGATTTCCTGAGTCTTAAGGGTGCACACGAGAGGATCATGTAAACTTCAGAATTTAGAACCTTATTTTAAGGCATTATCTTGGCTACCTATTTAGGCTCGAAAAGCAAAAAATATCAAAAAATACAACTTGACTCCATTATGACCCTTTCATGGAGGTAGTTTTTATCCGCTAGTATTTTCCCTTTGAATCTCTTTACAATTCGAAATCAAATTCAAACCTCAGTAGAAGAAAGGAAGAATCGACTTACTACGGTTGTAATACGAATAAATACATATATTTCATTATTTTTATTTACATAATAATTGTTTGAAGCTCATAATCCATCAAATTTTTAAATAAAAACATTAAAATGTTGAAAATGTTCATATATTTTAATAGGGTTTTGGCACTTTATTGAGGAATTACTACATACATAGTCGAACTGAACTTGATATTTTGAAATTTAAATTATTTATCAAAATTAAAATTTAACTTGAAATTTATAATTATTTAGTCATATTTTGCATAATTCTAAGTAGATTTTGTAAAAAATCAAGAAAGAAAAAATTTAACGTGCTTTATTTTTTCTTTTTTAATAATACATATTATTATATAATTAACATATTCATAATGTTTCACCCTTTCAAAAATATAATCCTCCTCCTCGCAAATAAACGTACATACGGGTGGCCTCTTTTTTCAAAAAATTAAAATTTGAAATTTTGGGCTCAAATATTAGAGATTTTTTCAACCTTCAACGATATATGTTGTCTATATCAGACCTCCTTTCTTTTTGATACTTAACATTGTTCCTAAATCTTAGCCGTTAAGGCTGTTCTGAAAATATTTTTTTTCGAAAAAATTCGAAAAAATTCTTAAAATTCAAAAATCCCTTAATTCCTGAGGATTTTGGAAAAAAGTTTTTACATGAACATGTGTATATTATATGAAGTATATTGATAAGGTAAAAATCAAATTTTATTGCATATTCATCGAGAAAATAAACTAACGAATCCCTCAAAATTGAGAGGGTAATCCTCCTCTCAAACAAACGTACATACGGGTGCACCCTTAATATCCAATTCAAAGGTTGTAAATTGAGAGTTTTTAAAACTGAATTGAGAAGGTATGTTTGATTAAGAGGATTCAAATTTAATAAAATGATGATAATACTAATGTCAATTAAAATTGGTCAGGAAAAATTTGAAATTAAAGATGATGAATTTGACTGGACGTATGAGAATTGAGAAGGAGTTTTCAATTTTGAATCCACCTCTCCTTTTTTTATTATATGGGCGACGATTGGAATAGTGTCGGTATAAAACGCCGTCGCTTGTTCTCACCTCATGACGATCGTCGTCTAGCACGTATTATTAGGGAAAATGTCTTCACGGGATGGAAGAACGTCGCGAAGCAGATGCCCGGGTTTACGGCAAAACAGTTAAGAGACCGATGGAACAACTATTTGTCTCCGAAAAACTCTCTTCAACCATGGTCACCGGAAGAAGATAGGATTATAACAGAAAAAGTTAAAGAATTTGGAACGAAATGATCAAGAATTGCAACATTTTTGCATGGTAGGTCAGATAACTCAATTAAAAATAGATGGAATACCATTCTGAAAGATCAGGATGAGGCAAACAAAGCCCCCAACACATTGGAATTAATTTCATCTGGGCGAAATACCTCCAACGAGCTAGAAGACAATTCAGAAGAAATACAAACAAAAATTCCAGAGGTAAAGCCAGCCAACTTGATCGCTTTAGATGACAGATTCATCAAACGATTCTTCGACACAGCATGACTTTCCGAAAATAATTTCAATTTAATCATCTCTATTAATGATGTTCATTGATGGTTAATATATATTACATCATTTTATATATATTTCTCTTTTTATCTTGTTAAAATATCTGTTTATTTGTTATACTTTTATGAATTGCTATGTTTCCTCTGCATTTAGAGCTTATGCTCTAATTGACGTTCCATTATTTGCTAAATTCCATTTGTGATTTTTTAAAATTATGTATAATATCTATTAGTTTAATTAATAAAATATTATCATTGTATAGTTTTAGTTGATATTGTGTAATAAACAGAAATTCATCAAAAGTGACAGCTCTCAATTTTTTGACATTTGTAAATTCTAAATTGAATGAGAAAAATGAAATAATACTAAGCATAATACAATATTCTAGATTTAATTATAATTAGGAAAAAGTTAGTTTTGAGAGTACTTTTCATAGGCATATAGAATGAAATCTTCTGAAAAATAATATCACATAAACTCATATTATTTTCTAATATATAACTATTTTATATAAAAATCAAATTCAATGATCTTAAAAGCGAAGGATAAACCTCAAAATTTACGAATATAATGAGTGGGAATATAATGCTTATCTATCATAAAACCATATGAAATATCAATTTTTGCTTTACGCCTAATTTTTGACGACAATTAGCAAAAAATGTTAAATGTTAACACTCAGTCCATTTGAATATGAAAAATAAAATTGACTTTGATTAAGGGTATAGTAAACTCAAAATTCTAGAGTTTTGAGAGTGCCAATAAACTCTATAGGCCTATATATATCTATATTTTAAAGGAGAGGTTACGCCATAATATTTGATATTATAAATTATTAATTCAAAATAAAAGTAGAAAATGAAACTAATTTTATTCTAACCTATATAAATATATCAATAATCTAAAATGATTATAGTCTGAACTATATTTTACCAGATTATCAAATATAAGAGAAATGAAATAAGGCATAAAAATATCATAGCATAATTATTGGATAAATGCATTAATAAATTATTTATATCATAATGAGAAAAAATCATAATAAGAAAATGAGCATAATAATAATTTAATTAAAAACAAAAACAATAAATAAAATGTAATTTTCGTTAATCAAAGTCATCAATGTCTTCGTCTTCTGATTCCCATTCGGACTTGAAAACTTGATAATCTCCTCCTGGTACACTCTGAATGAATTTTTTGTATTTGTTCTGTTTTTTAGAACCTTTTGTAACAGTTTTTTGTTTCAATATCATTTTGGAGTAACAATTCTCTTCAAATGATTTGACACAATCTTCTGGAAGTGGGGGAAGATGTAATGCTTTTTGTATATCTCCGAGAAAATGCTCTGGATCATTCCATTCTAAGATTGCAACGTTAACTCTAATGTTAATGTTCTTCCAGGCTCTTGATTTGTCCAAATAGCATGCAATTTTGGAGTTAAACGCTTCATTCATGCAGGTAGATCCAATGGAAGAAACTTTGGAAACTATGGGTGTCCATTTGTGAACCCAGTCATAGAGCATGAATTGAAGTTGGATCGAATTGACACCTTTTTGCCATTCAAAGCATTTGTAATTGTGCGGTTCGCAAAAAGAATGATTGCCTACGTAATGGTAGACACAATTCTCCCACATTTTCGTACGTTTGTCAATATTTTCTTCGGCAAAACATGACCAAAGCCACATACTTAGGCTTGCATTAGTTAGTATACAAGTCTCGTGTATGGTGGCACTACGTTCCACCGTACACAATACTTGTGAATTTGACACTTTACAAAACCGTTAACGTATATTTTACAACACAAACACAAACACCAACTTAACCTTAAATATTTATAAAGCCGCCAACCACTTCACCTTACTACTGTAAAAATAAACGTTCTCACTTACAAAAGTATTGCAACTCTTCCCATTGCTGTGCTTCACACAATAGTTCATATTCTTCAGTATCGCTGCTGTCGCTCCAATCGTCAGAGTCAAAGTCACTGTCAAAATAAATGTTAGTAAGTTTTGACAAAGCTAATGAAACACGTTTACCGTTTGTATCGTATGCTTGTATAAACTTTCCATTCTTCATTCCTTCATAAACGCTCAAACTAACTTTACCCTTTCTCCCTCGTATCTGATAGAATGTATTTTCACGAGGAACGAAGAACAAATTCTTGAACTCATGACCGTTGTAGTTTGTTATCTCAATAGTTTTCGTCATTTACATAAAAATAAAATAAAAATAAAATAAAAAATAAACTTAAAATTAATGATATCACCACCCTCACACGTATGAAAACATAGCGCAAAAATAAATTTAGGTGAAGTGGTGAAATCTCACCTGTTTTTTCACCTGTTTTTTCACCCACTTGAATTCATTGCTTTATAACTCTCTTCCTTGGTTTCTTTTTAGTTGCTTTCTTCACGTCTGTCTCCAACTTGACTGTCTTTCTTCTTCGTCCGTAATGATACCAGTTACTTCCACCAGTCAATGGGTCAAATGGTCTTTCGTAAGGGTTTCCATACATTCCATAAGGACCATACGGAAGAACTACTGGTGGAGGAAGAGTTCCATCGACTCTATTTAAATGCATTGTTTCACCTTTCATCTGGTCATTAAAGTCTTTTGCGTGTTTTGCAAACTCATCGTCCTTTCCTAAAGCATTTTCTGACTCAGTCGCAACCAAATTGGATGCTTTATTTATGAGTCCTATTTTATTTAATCTTAACTTCTTTGCAACCCAGCCTCCAATCTTTCCTTTATTTGCATCTAATGTCTTTGAAACCCTTCCTCCACTCATTTTATTTACTGCGTCATAAGCTCCAAGTGCTTTTGCTCCAAATGCTAATGCTTTTGTTCCCATTGCGCCTAAAGCTGCCCAAGCTACCATTTACACCATATTAAAATCATCTCTCTTCAATATTATCTCATAAAAGTTCTCGTTACTGGAGAAAGTCAATGAAACATAAACATTCTCACGGACTTCGTCCTCGCCGCGTTGCGGCTTCATAAACTTCTTTCTTATCTCATCTATACGCTTCAAAATGTCTGAACAATTGCTAACATCTTCTACAACAGTTATTTCATCATGAATGACCTTCAAGAACAAGCTCATTTAATATGCTATTAAAATCATCTCAATAATGAGTCCATCCTTTCCATCTTTAGGTAGCACAACATCTTTCATTGAAGAAGGTTCGACAAGTCTTATATTAAACTTACTGACAAAGTTTGTTATACTATAATGCTTCGGTGGCGAATACATGTAGTTTGAAAGACATAATATAGATTCTTCAGCAAATTCACTTATACTGGATTTTATAACAATGTTCTCACGAGACCAAATACCACCAATTGACAATCTTGTAAGCAATCCTGCTGAACCTTCAACTGTAAACGTCGATGGTAACATTCCACGAAGGTCATCTATTGACATCGTTGAGTCACTGAATTTAAATATTTTCTTAAAGCAATCGTCATTATCTAACCATGCAATAGCTTTGAAGTTTTCATTCGAATATACATCTGCTTCATTAAATGTAAAACCTGACTTCTTTGCAGAGATGACTTTAAAATCTATTGCATTTGTTTCAAAATTATATACTATGGTAACTTCTGAAGGTAATGGATGTCCTTCCGCAGTCAGTTGTTCTCTCACTACCGTTTGAAGCTTTGTGTTAAAAACTTTCATGTCATCTCCTGTGTCTAGGTTCACATACACAGCAACAGGAAAACTATCTTGCTTCTTTGTTTCATCATTATACCTCAAAACATTAAAGTTCTTCAATAATATTGTTCTTCCTGCTGGAATACTTCGAACCTGTCTGATTTCAATAGCTTTCTCACCTCCTACATACTCTACCCAGTGCCTTGGATATTCATAAGTATACTGACTTTCTTGAATTTTGGTTGGTTTCATCATAACGTGTTCATAGTATATCTTTATACTCTTGTCAGTTAGACTCGGTGCTATGTTCTGAATATTTCTGACTTGCATTTTTAATGGAGATAAAATGAAGCATTTAATACATGACGTAGATGAAGACATGAATGAAACTACAGACAAACTTAACTCTTCTCTCATTCTTCCTTTCAGTAAGGACTATGAGTTCTGTTCAAATGGTGTGTATTTCTATTGTGGAAAGATGGGTTCAGGTAAGACATTTAATTTAATTCGTCATATACTCATAACAGAGCGTTTAGGAAACGACTCTTACTATGACCAAATCATTATATCAGCAACTTCAGACTCTATGGACTCAACAGCGAAAACATTTATGTCAAAAGTTCAAGCCTCTGTCGTTAAAGTTCCAGACAGTGAACTCATTGAATTTCTTCAACGTTACATTCGACGTAAGAGAAAATATTATGCCATCGTTGAATTTATACAGTCAGGAATGCAAAAGACTTCTGAGGAGATGGAAAGAATTATTGACAAACACCACTTACGTCAGTACTCAGGAGTTTACGATATGAAACGACTGACAAACTACATTCTATCAAAACTTTCAAAATACCCCTTCAAAAAGTATCCTTCAAACACTCTGCTCGTTTGCGACGACTTCGCTGGTAAAGGTTTAGTGTCAAAACCAGACTCATCATTAGCTAATATCATTACTAAAGTCAGACATTACCACTTAACTGTAGCAATACTTATGCAAACATGGAGGTTTTTAGCTTTAAACATAAAACGTCTCATAACTGACTTCGTTATCTTTCAAGGTTTCTCACGTTATGATATTGAACTCATTTGG